AGAACTCTCAAAATGGTCTATACTAAAGTTCATTAAAGACATTCCAGAAATTAAATAGGCCTTAAACTTTAAAATATTAAAATCTTTAGAACATAATATATTTAAATATTTATTTCATATTAAAATTCTTACAAACAATTTTCCTACTATGGAAAATCTTAATATCCACTACCCTCATTTTTATAACACATCTGCATATTCTTGATATTCTAATCTTGAAAACACTCTTCATCTTCTTATCTGCCCAAACAATAATATTAATCTCATCTATAATCTAATTAACATAATTCAAACAACTCTAACAATTCTTCAAATTTCTAACAATTTTTCTAATACTCTTCCTAATATTTTACTAAATTTTACTGCAAACTCTTCTAATCCACACTACCTCTTTATACTATATGCAATTACTGACACCTTTTCAACTATTATATACAACAATATCAAAATATTATTTAACAAACATACTGACTCTTTTTTTATTAATCTTTCTAATAATCTTTTAACTTGGTACTGTCAAGAACTATAGTTTATTTATAATATCTATCAACATCAATGGGAACTCTCTCAAAATATCACTGCTAAAGCTAAATGCACAAAATCCTACTTTCCAAATACATTTACTTCTTCAAATAATTCTCTAATTATAATACAACCCTTAGATATTAATCTTTTTATTAATAAATAGCTCTTACAAGAATATGCTTTAACTGCATGCTTTACTTAATGCCATAACTATCACCTTAGGTCTCCTCCAACCTATCTTAGCTAGAAATTAGTTTGAAATAATTAACTATAGCATTTTATAGGAAATAGGTGGTATAATGTCATATTGGGTGCCTTATATAACACAAATGTAGTCAAAAATCTTTAAGTTTAAAATTATTTTTCCAAGTTTCTACTATGGCATTATATTAATAAAAAAAAAAAAAAAAAAAACTACGAACATGAATATACCCAAAACTCTGCTCTTCCTTATACAACTTATAAGCTTTAAACCCAAATCTCTCTTGTCAAGCTTGTTTTCTACCACCAAGAACTAGTACTCATACTTTTTATCTAACTAATTTTAAAAGATTTTGAAATTGGTATTCCAACACCTATTTTGCTTATTTTTATATCTTCAAAACTACTACAAATTTTGGATATTTAACTGTAATTTGAGACTAACCCTCTATTTGCACCTCTATCTGAGTTATTATTTTTTAGTTGCTGATACAACCAAGTTATTAAAAACTCTAGAGAAATTGCTCTCACATTACTTATCAGATATATACACCTTACTGCTTTATCTACTATTGACTTTGAATACCAAAACATCTTTAACTATTACATCAATCTAGCTTACAATTTTGGATACAAGGAACCAGAACAATACGAAAGATATTTTGAAAATTTAGGACTCTCTATATAATATCAACCAGACAATGATTATAGTTTTAGCTACCAAGATCAACAGATTATTCAAAGGACTCCATTTTTTTCTAGTTTGCTCTCCTACCAATATAAAACAGATAACCCTTACTATCAACCTCTCCAACATTCTTCTTGAAATATATTTGAAGTGTCTCAAGGACAATTCATTGAAGTAGATCTTGTCTCTCTCCAAGAAGTACAGATAGAAGAACATCCTCTCTAAAGAGAAAAAGCTCTACCTCTAGAAGATTCAGATTAAGAATATGATTTTGATTCTGATAGTACTGTTCAAGAAATCTTTACCCCAACTGAAACCTTTAAATTACCAGAAAATCATTAAGAACAACTCGACAATAATCTATCACCTCCTGACCTAAATAATTTACTACTATCAAAGCAACCTAAAGTTAACTTACTACTACTTGAAGCAAATCTACTACCATCAAAACAACTCAAAGTTAATCTACTACTACTACTACCATCTGTAACACCTCTATTAGTAGTACTATCTGTAAATATAGTTGATGCTGCACTTAACAATGTTGCTCAAACTATAACTAACTTGGCTAATGCCCTTGTACCAGATAGAGAAAAGTCTTTCTTTAAAATTGATTTCTTTACTGATGATAGAAAACAAGACCCAGTAGAATGGCTAAAAGAATTTGAATAAGCTGTTATTGCTAACAACTGGAGTGCTGCTCAACAACTTGCTCTTACTCCTACCTATATGAAAGAAATTACTACTGAATAGTTCCAAAGTCTTAACCTTGCTCCCAATGCTTTTAAGAATGCTTTTGCTATAGACTGAAGCTTTTATTATCTTTTCAAAACAAAATTCAGCTTCACTAACCAAAAATCAAATGGCAAAAATAATTTTTTGATATTAAACAAGGAATAGACTTAGTTGATACCTATATAACTTGTTTCAAAAAGTTACAAGCCTATTTAGACGCTACCAATAGTTTTCCTACTGATTTCATTTTTTCAACTTCTTATCCAAGAACTAAGACCTGAATATACTATTGGTGTTCAAACTAGAGGATCTGCTAACTTGAATACTGCTATAGATGCTGCTCACAATTGAGAAAATGGCTAACTCATCTCTTTACCTACTACAGATACAGACAGACCAAGCTATTAAACAATTAACTAACCAGATAGCCTAACTTAACATTAACCTTTCTCAACAAAAATCTGCATCTATCTCAGTATATTATGCCAAAAACTCTATCACTGCAAATAGAATCAGACAACCACCTACCTGCTACTATTGTAGATGCACTAGATATTTTATTGCTTAATGTTGTGATAAACTAAAGAATTAATCATGATCATAAGACAGAAGCCAAAATTATTACAATAGTCGAAGAAATGATCGATCTAGAAGCCACAATAGTTATTCTTGATACTGAGATTATTCTCGAGAATAAAATAGCTACTACTCCTATACCAAAAACTCTAGACGATTCTTCCATTGTTCACTTTCTTCTTACCATTGTAATGTCAACTACCTTGATCAGAACTCCAAACCTCTTTATTTATAAGCTAAAAAAAATAGAAAACTCTATTAGACAACCCTTCTATCTGAAGTGCTCCTTCTGCCTATCTAAGTCAAGAAGCGAAATCTCTTGCCATTGCTTCTGAACCAACACCACTTCTGTTAAATGCAATATTAAAATTAAAAACAGACCTTACCAAGTTATTGTAAATAGCAGAGCATCTATTAGTATGATTGCTTATAAAGTAGTTCAAGAACTAGGACTTAAAATTGAACAAGCCTCAACTAGTCTCATCATCTTTGCTATCAAAACTTCTTCTCGACCCCTAGGAATTATTTGAGATCTGTTAGTTCAGATCGAAGAAGCAACTATCTTTATTACTGTTAAAGTAGTTGCTGCTACTTCCTATACCTTACTTCTTGGAAATAACTGGTTCAAGAAAGTTGAAGTCAGTTACAATTAAAAGAATGGCTGTTACTCCTTTAAGTAGAAGAATTACAAGTACTATACTACTATTACCTATGAGAATGATCAACTACTATCTGTCCAAACTACCATAACTAACTAAGAAAAGTTAGATATATATGATCAGGAATATCTAACTTCTAAAAAGGCTTATGCATTTGGTATCAACCTCATCTAGACACAGATAATGACTATGATAATTAGACAATCTATCAACCTTATTATTGTACTCAAACTCTTTTTTAAGTATGTAAAAATTGTGGTTTATTTGGCTATTTATTTGCTAAATATTCTATCAATTGCTACAACTATTGCAAAGAAATTGAACATATTGCAGTATATTGTCTCTTGCAAGCCTTACAACAAACCTCTTACATCAGAAAATTTTAAAGCCAGATTATAATCAGTTGCAAAACAGTTAATCAATTATAATTGATTGGCTTTAAGCAATTATAACTGATGGCAGTATTGTCACAGGACAGTTATGAACAGTGAATTTGAACACTTTGGACAATTTTGGACAATTAAATAAATTAAAATTACTCAAAATTTTATTAAGATAATCTACATTACTTTTTAACATCAGAAAAATTTTTTTGGCACAGATCTGTAAAAACCTGTAAAAATGCAGATTATTGCAAATTTTTTAATACAGATCTGTGCAGATATTCAAAAATGCAGATTATTACAGATTTTTTAACTCAAATCTGTGCAAATATTCAAATATACAGATTATTACAGATTTTTTAACTTAGATCTGTACAAATATTCAAAAATACAGATCTGTGCAAATATAGATTTTTAAAAATTTTTTATTTAAATTAAGAGATTATATAAAAATCATCCTGGCTGATTTATTTAAATAATATCCCCCTATTTTGTAAATAATAGATGATCATCAGTACCATGTTGTACATACATATTCTATATAAATTATAGTATAGTTTGCGATAGTATACTGAATTTATTTTAACATATGCAGGATTTAACAAGATAAATAAATAAAGAGGTGATTATAACACTGATCGATCTTTTTTCTTGTGCAGTTACCTAATAAAGCAGTTTGATATTTGTCTCGTGAAATAATAAACGCATTAAAAGAGTTAAATATCTCAAGTTAATATATAGTGTGATTATCTAAACCACGTAGGTTATATTTCTTTTGTCTAATTTATGTATGTTTTCATGTTTGCATCACGCTAATAACTTAACATATAACTTATTTCATACACTAGATTTATCTTCACTCAAAATATTTCACCAATTTCAATTTCGATTTACCTTGTATTTCCTAATAAAGGCGCTTCAATGGTTATCACGTGAAAATATAAAGTAAAAGAGAAGATAGTTCAATACATCATAAGAGAAATACAAAAGACCATAGTAAGGCTTACCCTTGTACTGCAATATAGTGCAACGGCATTATTCAAACTTGTATATTGCAGTTTTTATGTTCAGTTTATTGTTTAGTACAATAGCGGTTTTGTATTCTGCACGTGTTTTAGGTTGTATTAAAATTACTAACGGAATGGTCTATTATATTGTCTCTCACCTTAGCTTATATTCACCTAAGATATTTGAGAACTCAGTTTAATCATCTCTATATAATACCTCATAAAAATGGAAGAGTTTGATATCAATGACAATAATTTTAATGATGATATGGGTTATGACAAAGGAATCTTTCAAGTTGTTCAGGAACCTGTTCATTCTTATTCTGAAACTTATGAGAAAAAGATTTTTTTGGATCATCAAGAAAGTATTTTTTTTCATGTTGAAAGTTATGACGAAACCTATAATGATTTTCAAGAATTTCAAGAAAATGTTTCATTTCATGTTGAAAATTATGAAGCTTTTGAAAATGCTCATGTTGAAAATCATGAAGCTTTTGAAAGTGTTTAGGAAGGTAGTTCATCTTATATTAGAAGTCATGGCGATGCTTATGAAGATGCTCAGGAAATTATTTCATCTCATGCTGAAATAACAAAAAAAAGGCGACTTGAAACGCTCTTAATACCTAATGCTGTTTTTGAAGAGGCATCATGATTATGTGTTGGAATGATATTTGAGCACTGGAACCATGCGTACTCGGTATTATTGGCTTATGGACAGCAAATAGGTTTTGTATAGAGGATCTAAGACAAAAAATTGTATAAAAATGGTGGTATATATAAGTACATCTTTAAGTGCTGGCATGCTGGAAATTTTCAATCAAAAAAACAGCTATCGATCCTTCACAACAACGTAACAGAGAATCAGTCAAGACGGATTGCACTTGTTATATTAATATATGTTGGCCACTTAATTCACCAAGTCCAGTTGTCACTAAAATGAACCTTGAGCATCACGGGCATGTACTTAATCCTGAAACGATTCGTTTTGCTAATGTTTATCAACAGCTTCCCCAAAATGTGATGGATAAAATCAAATTTTATGTAGATACAATTTATGATATTAATCAACATACACTAAGGCAACTTCTGAGTAGTGAATTTAAAGAGCAGTTATTTTTAGATAAAGATCTGGCCAATGCCATTCAACAATTTAGAAGGAGTAATATAGCAAATCCTGATTACGATCCTAAAAATGATGCTACAAACCTTCTAAAAGAGTTACAAAAAATGAAAAAAAATGATCTTACGTGATTTATAAATTATCATTGTATTAAGAATCGTCTTTTCCATTTATTCTGGATGGCACCCCACCAACAAAATATATATTTAAAGTATCACAATGTTATTCTGACAGACAATATAGCACAAACTAATAAATATCGGATGGCATTGTGTTTATTTGTTGGTGTTGACCAACATCGTCATTCAAGACTAATAGCTCAAGCACTAATGTCCGATGAGACAACCTCATCATATACATGAGTACTCAAGAATCTTTTATCAGCTACAAATAATTTACCACCTAAAACAATATATTCCAACTGCGATACTGGATTGGGACCAGCAATTGAATCTACACTTCCAAATACATGACATTTATACTGCATTTTCCATGTAATTCAAAATATTAAAAAACAATTGATTCGTTCACTCGGTTTCTGATTTGCAGCATTTCAAAATGACTTTTTTATTTGCCGCAATACTTTATATAAAGAAATTTTTGAGCTACGATTTAACTCATTATGTACCAAATTTCCAGAAACTTCATCGTATTTAAGAAACACTTTATACCCGATTAAAGAAAAATGAGCTAAGTGTTACACTTTCCAGGTAACTAAAATTAAAACTACAATCATCACAGGTCGAAGTCAAAAATCTCACTACTATCAGATAGATAATACTAGGCTAATAGGTTGTGATTTTAAGAAAATTAGCATATGTTTCAAATTTTCTTAAAACTAGCCTATTGGTCTAGTATTATCCTATCTGATATTATACTGATAGGTTAGTGAGATTTTTGACTTCGACCTGTACGTGGTTATTAAATTAGATTTAGGCTGCAATTAATGTGTAATAACTTTTTTTTTTAGGAGTTTAACGCCGGAATGTCTTCAACTCAACAAGTCGAATCCATAAATGCTATTGTGCATAAATATGTTAACTCTCACTCAACATTAATGAATTGTTTTAACGGGATACAAAATATGTTATCTTCAGAACTCCAAAAAGCAGAGTACTGTGACTATTTGGAAAATCTACCTTTTAATATTGGGTCATCATTAGCAGTACGTATTTTTCCGGATATAGTTGATCTACTGAAATCGGCTTTAACAGAGGAAGTTTTCCGAATCCAAAAGACCCAAATCAATATCTGCTTTGAATACTATTCAAGATTGATTCCTTCTGATAGATATGATAGTTGTGATGAAGTAAGACATATAAAGTTGGGACCAGTTTATTTTTCATGTGTTAGGTTTAATATAAGCGTGGTTTTATACTAACATATAAGCATAATTTTATACTAAAATTGTTAAAAGTCAATGATTCTGATGAATCTAATTGTCTTGAAGACCATACTGACAAATGTCAAATCACACTAAAGTCTCTTATTAATCAGGTTGGTCTCAATAATATTCTGAAAATTTGGGAAGTCAAACATATAGCGGCAAACACAACATCACTTAATTATGTATCATTGCTTCAAGACAATTCACATATTTGTACTTGCTTACTTTTAATATGTGAAGAGTTGGTCTGTCGTCATTTTTTCCAAATCATGCTACAAACAAAAGCTGCAAAATTTAGTGTGGCTTTAGTAAAAAGTCGTTGGTACAAAAGAAATATTGAGATTCATGAGATTAACACTATATATAACTCTTCTGGAATATCTGTTAATACAAGCAAAAGTTTTGCTTTGACTCCTATATGTGATAATTGGAGTTCAGAAGAAAATGATTTAATTCAAATTGCTGAAATTAAAAAATCTATTATGTCACGACAAATTTATAGTGAATGTGCTGCTTTAGAACGTAAATTGGCATCGTTAGCAGTGGAATTTCGGTTAATACATGTTGCGGCTACTTTACAAGGCTTAATTCAGCAAGTAGAGCAAGCTAACTCTAATTCCACAAACAGTCATAATAAGCATACAATTCAGAATCTATTACAAGCAAATTCAAGAGGAAGGCCAACTAACAGGCTAAAAGCATCTGTAGAAAATAATTCAAAAGGTTCAAAGAACAAATCTACAAGTGTTAGTGTTCGTTCTGGGGAGGGATACACATGTCGCAATTGTTTAAGAGAAGGGCATAATGCAAGAAGTTGCACTGCACCATGTAAAGTTTGTAAAGCGACTGATCATACTTATTTACATTGTCAGAATGCTTAGTATTATTAGTTTGTTTTTATGTTTGTTGCAATCACATAATTAATTGTTAAATATGTATCATTGCTGCTGATTAATTTATATAACGTCTCTATTCGTTTGCAGTTTGGTCTTTATTTCAATTATCATGAGTTACTATTAAGTTTTTTTTAAGGAGGGTAAATTTGTGGTTAGTGCGTAAGTACAAAATTGTATGTAAATTTTAGATTATGAAATGTGCGTTGTACGTATAAATTCGTACGTATATGTACTTCGAAAGAATGTGTGTAATTTAAGACTTAGAGCTTGTATGTTATAAATGAATCCCTTTTGATAGTTAGGGTAAGGATGAGTGCTAGATTTGTTCTTTTTTCATGTTAATATTTTAGTATAATCTGCTGTCTCGTTAATGAGTAGGGTTATAGTAGTTTTTTTATTTTTGTTTTTGTTCTGAGAATCTTTAGTACAATGCTATTTTACTCTGGTCATGATGTTATTTATTGGTTATTGTGCGATTAGAAATTATCCAAAACCTTAAATTAGATTATTCATGTAGTTTTATCCGTCATGGCTATATACTGAACGTACATATGTGCATAAATATCTGATATGTATATAGGTACGTTCGTACGTACGTATGTACGTACGAACTAGAAACAGCATAATATATAAGTATCATGATGGTATGTACATACGTATATACGTGTATATGCTTGAATCGTGCTAATTTAATTGTGCATAGATATGCATCTGCAACAACTTATTGGATAATGTATAATAAACGAATGTTATATAACAACGATCACGTGATAGAAATAGTTATTGTAATACTAACCAAATAATTTTGTTACACAGCATATAATATAAATTTATATAATAGGCTGATTTTTAATAAAATCATATAGGCTGGTCATTAGTAAATCTCTTTAAATTTAAACTATATAATAATATAATTAATTTAAATAAAAAATTTTTAAAAACCTATATTTGCACAGATCTGTATTTTTGAATATTTGCACAGATCTGAGTTAAAAAATCTGTAATAATCTGTATATTTGAATATTTGCACAGATTTAAGTTAAAAAATCTGTAATAATCTACATTTTTAAATATCTGTACAGATCTGTATTAAAAAATCTGCAATAATCTGCATTTTCACAGGTTTTCACAAATCTGTGTCAAAAAAATTTTCCTGATGAAGTAAAATATGTTTAGCATCTAAAAAAATATATAGTTATATATATTTTAAACAAATTTATTAATTATTAAAGCTTAAGTATACTCTGGACACTTTTGAACACTTAGATATTTGGATATTGAACAGTACTAAAAAAGCCTTTAGACAGTCGAAATGTATATCTCTGACTGATGGTGGTGTTGATAATTGATTTATATCAAAATTGATAATAATTGGTAATGATAAAAATCGATACAATTTAAAAGATTATAATTAATAGCATTAATTTATATCAATTATAATTGATAAAAATCTAATTGATTTTAATCGATAGTAGTAATAAAAATCGTTTAAAATCCTTAAATTTTAATTGATTATAATCTAATTTTAAATTTTTCTGATGTACCGAATCTGTGATCATGACCACCTATATCAAAGCTATCCCAATAACAAATATCACAAATGTGATGAATTCAGACATATCATTGTAGACTGCCTCTATAGTTCTTTACAAAGACAGAACAAGACATACTAATATGCTGCAACCCTAATGAAGTAGCTGCCTAGAAGGCCTACTACTACAGCAACAAATAAATCCATTATTGTTGCCAATACAAGAGTCCAGAAAGGTCAGAATGCCTCAAAGTTCTTGATCACCAATTAGTATGCTGTGTATGCTATATAGACTTCTATCATAATTTAAATTGAAACAACTCCAGAAGTATTCATTCTATACCAAAGGTGAAAGTCAAGAAACTCTAGTTATGTGTAAAATCTGCTAGCATTCTGATGCCTAATCCAGGATATATACAATAATATTGAAAGTATTACTGAAACCTTTTATATACATACAAAGCTAGCCAAGATGTCCTCTACAATCACAACTATAACCTCTAGATCTGGATTCAACATTACACCACTTTCTCATAAAACACAGAATCTCAATATGAAATGAATCAGACATGTATTATCTGACTTGCAAAGATCTATTTGCAAGAAAGTAATTAAAACATAGCCGAAGTACTAGAACTCCTCATGACTGACTGAACCAACCAGTCATAAAATAATAATGAAATGAGCCTCATCTTCTGTGCTGAACAAGATCTATTAACTGAGGATGAAGAGTCTCAATTATAAGCAACTCTTGACCAATCCTTCAACACAAGTTATCCTAACTTTTGTAAAGAGTTAGCTCTTGCTAACCTTCGTCAAAGCTTTATCCATCTTGTTAACCTTTGTAAAGAGTGCCTGCATATTAAGCATCAAGATAAACTTAACCAAAATGAAGGAATCTGTACTGATTGTATTACAGTACCTTCTCCTATCTTTAATCCAGAAGAAACACTAAAAGAAGAACCAGACCAGCCTACTCTTAGCCCTGATACTCTTTCTAAAGAATCTGAATCTAATAATCTATTATCTGAATCTCGACCTAATACCCCTGTAATAGAAGCAAATTCTATTGTAATACCCTAATTACTATTTTAGAACCAGACATTACCTTATCTTTATTGCTACAACTTTAACAAGTAGCTTACCAGATTCAGCTTATCACACAGCTGCAACAGAAGGTTAAAACTCTTGAGAATTTTAACTAACACTATAAAGAGAAGATAGCCAGTATGCTCACTAGTATGCTGCTCAATTTGCTGCCTTTACAAAGTCATAAATTTTTAGATAATCTCAGACAAGATGAAAAACTACAGATATTAATAACTCTACCCTAACTCCAAAACATATATATACTATTGATACTCTTATCCCTTATGAAGAGTATACAATCTTAAAAGAAACATCATTAAATATTAGACCTCTCTCAGAAAATAAAGGAAGAAGATTCAGACAACTCTTAGAAGAATTTGTAGACCTATTCGCATCAGACATTAATAAATTAGGACAAACTAATCTAGTTATTTATAGGATTTATATTGAAGATATACTTCCTATAAATTCTCAACCTTATTCAATACCTCCTAGCAAACAAGTATTTGTTAAAGAAGAAATCTAACGAATGCTAGAAAATAAGCTAATACAACCATCAAATAGCCTATGAACCTCATAGTTAGAAAGAAAAATAACAAATTAAGTTTCTGTATAGACTACAGAAAGCTCAATAGCATAACTAAGAAAATGCTTACTCATTGTCTTGAATCAATGAAATATTAAACATTCTTGCTGAATTATATTAGTTTTCTACACTAAATCTTGCTAATGGATATTAGCAAATAGCTATACACCCAAGAGACTAAGAAAAGACTGCATTTGTTACTCACTATAGAACTTATAAATTCAATGTCATACTCTTTGGGCTTTGTAATGCCCTGCAACTTTCTAATAATTAATAGATCGAGTTTATGACAAGATTGTA